GTGTGGGGACGCGGTGTGGGCACATGGTGTGGGGACACAGTGTGGGGATGTGGTGTGGGGACGTGGTGTGGGGAGATGGTGTGGGGACAGTGTAGGCACATGGTGTGGGGACACGGTATGAGGACACGGTGTGGGGACACAGTGTGGGGACACGGTGTAGGACACATGGTGTGGGGACATGGTGTAGGACAGTGTAGGCACATGGTGTGGGGACATGGTGTGGGGACGCGGTGTGGGGACACGGTGTGGGGAGATGGTGTGGGGACACAGTGTGGGGACACGGTGTAGGGACATGGCATGGGGACATGGTGTGGGGACACAGTGTGGGTGATGGGTTGTGGAGAAAGCATAGGGACATGGTGTGGGGACACAATATGGAGACATGTGTGGGAACTTGGTGTAGGGACAATGTAGGTACATAGTGTGCGGACATATTGTGGGGACACAGCATGGGGACACAAAGTTGGGACATGGTGTGAGGACACATTGTGGCTGACAGGTTGTGGGGACAGCGTAGGTACATGGTGAGGGGACACAGTGTGGTGACATGGTGGGGGCGTCACAGAGGGCAGGGCAGGGCCGGGGACAGTGAGGCAGTGGAGGGGCGGTGGGGACATGGGGTGAGAGCATGGGGTCACAGTGGTATGGGGACGAGGCATGGGGACATGGTGTGGACATACTGTGTGGGGAGGTGTGTGGGGACACAGTGAGGGACACGGTGTGAAGACTTGCTGTGGGGATGAGATGAGGTGTAGAGTACTGTGTGGGGACAGTGTGGGGACACGGTGTGGGGACACGGTGTAGGACAGTGTAGGCACATGGTGTGGGGACACAGTGTGGGGACACGGTGTGGGGAGACGGTGTGGGGACACGGTGTGGGGACGCGGTGTGGGGAGACGGTGTGGGGACAGTGTAGGCACATGGTGTGGGGATGCGGTGTGGGGACACGGTGTAGGACACATGGTGTGGGGACATGGTGTGGGGACACGGTGTGGGGACACGGTGTAGGACAGTGTAGGACACATGGTGTGGGGACACGGTGTAGGCACATGGTGTGGGGACACGGTGTAGGCACATGGTGTGGGGACACGGTGTAGGACACATAGTGTGGGGATACGGTGTGGGGAGATGGTGTGGGGACATGGTGTGGGGAGATGGTGTGGGGACACAGTGTGGGGACACGGTGTGGGGAGATGGTGTGGGGAGATGGTGTGGGGACACAGTGTGGGGACATGGTGTGGGGAGATGGTGTGGGGACACAGTATGGGGACATGGTGTGGGGACATGGTGTGGGGACGCAGTGTGAGGACACAGTGTGGGGACACGGTGTGGGGACACGGTGTGGGGACATGGCATGGGGACATGGTGTGGGGACACAGTGTGGGTGATGGGTTGTGGAGAAAGCATAGGGACATGGTGTGGGGACACAATATGGGGACATGTGTGGGAACTTGGTGTAGGGACAATGTAGGTACATAGTGTGCGGACATATTGTGGGGACACAGCATGGGGACACAAAGTTGGGACATGGTGTGAGGACACATTGTGGCTGACAGGGTGTGGGGACAGCATAGGTACGTGGCGAGGGGACAGTGTGGTGACGTGGTGTGGGGCCAGCATAGGTACGTGGCGAGGGGACAGTGTGGTGACGTGGTGTGGGGCCAGCATAGGTACGTGGCGAGGGGACAGTGTGGTGACGTGGTGTGGGGCCAGCATAGGTACGTGGCGAGGGGACAGTGTGGTGACGTGGTGTGGGGCCAGCATAGGTACGTGGCGAGGGGACAGTGTGGTGACGTGGTGTGGGGCCAGCATAGGTACGTGGCGAGGGGACAGTGTGGTGACGTGGTGTGGGGCCAGCATAGGTACGTGGCGAGGGGACAGTGTGGTGACGTGGTGTGGGGCCAGCATAGGTACGTGGCGAGGGGACAGTGTGGTGACGTGGTGTGGGGCCAGCATAGGTACGTGGCGAGGGGACAGTGTGGTGACGTGGTGTGGGGCCAGCATAGGTACGTGGCGAGGGGACAGTGTGGTGACGTGGTGTGGGGCCAGCATAGGTACGTGGCGAGGGGACAGTGTGGTGACGTGGTGTGGGGCCAGCATAGGTACGTGGCGAGGGGACAGTGTGGTGACGTGGTGTGGGGCCAGCATAGGTACGTGGCGAGGGGACAGTGTGGTGACGTGGTGTGGGGCCAGCATAGGTACGTGGCGAGGGGACAGTGTGGTGACGTGGTGTGGGGCCAGCATAGGTACGTGGCGAGGGGACAGTGTGGTGACGTGGTGTGGGGCCAGCATAGGTACGTGGCGAGGGGACAGTGTGGTGACGTGGTGTGGGGCCAGCATAGGTACGTGGCGAGGGGACAGTGTGGTGACGTGGTGTGGGGCCAGCATAGGTACGTGGCGAGGGGACAGTGTGGTGACGTGGTGTGGGGCCAGCATAGGTACGTGGCGAGGGGACAGTGTGGTGACGTGGTGTGGGGCCAGCATAGGTACGTGGCGAGGGGACAGTGTGGTGACGTGGTGTGGGGCCAGCATAGGTACGTGGCGAGGGGACAGTGTGGTGACGTGGTGTGGGGCCAGCATAGGTACGTGGCGAGGGGACAGTGTGGTGACGTGGTGTGGGGCCAGCATAGGTACGTGGCGAGGGGACAGTGTGGTGACGTGGTGTGGGGCCAGCATAGGTACGTGGCGAGGGGACAGTGTGGTGACGTGGTGTGGGGCCAGCATAGGTACGTGGCGAGGGGACAGTGTGGTGACGTGGTGTGGGGCCAGCATAGGTACGTGGCGAGGGGACAGTGTGGTGACGTGGTGTGGGGCCAGCATAGGTACGTGGCGAGGGGACAGTGTGGTGACGTGGTGTGGGGCCAGCATAGGTACGTGGCGAGGGGACAGTGTGGTGACGTGGTGTGGGGCCAGCATAGGTACGTGGCGAGGGGACAGTGTGGTGACGTGGTGTGGGGCCAGCATAGGTACGTGGCGAGGGGACAGTGTGGTGACGTGGTGTGGGGCCAGCATAGGTACGTGGCGAGGGGACAGTGTGGTGACGTGGTGTGGGGCCAGCATAGGTACGTGGCGAGGGGACAGTGTGGTGACGTGGTGTGGGGCCAGCATAGGTACGTGGCGAGGGGACAGTGTGGTGACGTGGTGTGGGGCCAGCATAGGTACGTGGCGAGGGGACAGTGTGGTGACGTGGTGTGGGGCCAGCATAGGTACGTGGCGAGGGGACAGTGTGGTGACGTGGTGTGGGGCCAGCATAGGTACGTGGCGAGGGGACAGTGTGGTGACGTGGTGTGGGGCCAGCATAGGTACGTGGCGAGGGGACAGTGTGGTGACGTGGTGTGGGGCCAGCATAGGTACGTGGCGAGGGGACAGTGTGGTGACGTGGTGTGGGGCCAGCATAGGTACGTGGCGAGGGGACAGTGTGGTGACGTGGTGTGGGGCCAGCATAGGTACGTGGCGTGGGGATGCGACACAGTGTGGTGACGTGGTGTGGGGACAGTGTGGTGACAGGGTGTGAGGAGACATCAGTGCACACACGTGGGGATACAGCATGGACACGGGAGAGGCCCACGCAGGCCTGGGTCCGCGGCCCGCGAGTGGCGCACCTTGAACAGGGTGACGGTGGCGCTGTAGCAGACGCTGAGCAGGAACAGGGTGATGAAGATGGTGATGGTGGTCCAGAGCCCGTCCAGCTCCCCGTCCTGGGCCTCGGCACAGCTCTCGTCCAGGTGCAGCTCTGGACAGGGAGGGGGTGGTCAGGCCGCGCCCCGGGGGGGCGTCTGGGGGAAGAGCTCCTCCCGGGCTGGAGTGGGCGGCTGGTGGGAAGGACCGTGCGCTCTGCCATCCTGTCCTGGCCACCTCTGCTCCGCACCTCCTCCTGCTTGGGCCCTGGGCTTGGCCCTCGCCCCTGCCCTGGATGGTGGCCTGGCGAGCCGTGGGCTCCTGCCTCTCTGCCCTGTCCTGGCTCCACAGCCCACTCTGGCCCTCTGCCTCCTGTGCCATGGTGACCAGGCCCTGAAGAAGGCAGAGAGCCGTGCCCAAGCAGCGCTGAGCACAGGGAGGGCAGTACTGGGGCAAGCAGGCCTCAGCCACAGGGGGAGTGTGTCCTCAGTGTGAGGGCCGGAGCACGAGCTGAGGGGTACTGGGGTGCGTGTGCACATGTGCAGGGAGGTGGCGAGGTCCCCTTGTGGGAGGAGGGCTGGCAGTGTCTGAGTGGTCAGCGGGTGGACAAGCTGCTCAGCAGCCCATGGGTGTCAAGGTGCCTCCTGGGGCTTGGGGTGGGCCAGTGTCTGGGCAAGTGTGCATGTGGCCGGGGCCCTCGCCCAGGTGAGTGTCGGTGTTAGGTGTGCACGTGTGTGTGGGCATTATGCATGCTGGGCAGTGTGCAGCCTAGGGCCGGTGTCAGTGGATCTGGGCTCCCTGTCCATGTGGGTGGCAGGGACAGCCCTGCAGGCAGATGGGCATGTCGCCTTGGCCGCTCAGGGCACAGGACTGAGTGCAGGAGTGGGTGGCCTTGCCCCTGCAGGAGCGAGGCTGTGCAGTGCTAAAGGGGTGCAAAAGGCCGCTTCCCGAGCCCCATAGGCCAGCCCTGCCTCTCAGGTGGACAGAGAGAGATCCTGGGGACCAGAGCCTGGGGACAAGGACCGGCTCTTACAGATGTGGGAACCAGGTGCCCATTCCCAGGAGCTCCCCTGCCCAGCGCAAGGCAGCCACTGCACCAAGGCCTTGGAGAGGGGCCGAGGGTAAGGCCGAGCCTTGCGGGGAGCCTGGGCAGACGTGCACCCTGCAGGCTCTGCTCCCTGTCCTGCATGGCGGCCCAAGCCGAAGCCTGTGGGCTGGCGTGTGCAGTGAGTGCTCTGCCTCGGAAAGAACCAGGACAGTCTCGCAGGGTCTCAGGGTGTGCTGGGAGTTTTATTTCCACGCAGGGCAGCGGGCGGTATGTACAAGTGGGTGGGCAGGGTCCGGCGGCCGGGGGCTGGCCGGGGGCTGGCCGGGCGCTGTGCTCATTTACCGGGAGACTTGGAGACGGTCTTCTGGGTGTGGTGGTTGTGCAGGGCCTCGTGCATCACAGAGCACGAGAAGTGATCCTCCCTGTGCCACCTGTCTTTGCTCAGGGAGAGCTTGCTGTAGAGGAAGTAGCTGCCGTCGCTGTCCAGCACGGGCTCCGTGTTCCGGAAGTCGCTCTCGGACTTCCCACCTCTCCGCACCTCC